AGGTGGTCGCAAACAAGGTTTTGCCGGCCCGCGCGGGCGCGCGCTGCGTTTTCCACCCACCCAGCACGGGCTTGCTCGCGCAGCGCTCTGTAGCACCCGTCTTCGACCCCGCAAGTGGTGCGCGCCAGGCGGTCGTACCCGACGCCGCCGGCAACGTGCTCGACGGACACATGATCGCCTGCCCGCTTATTCAGGAGGCCGAGGCCGACTTCTCGGAAACACACCTCGGCCTCTCCACCACTCCCGTCGCCGCCGGCGTCGTCCTCGACGTCCTCGTCCATCCCAACCCGCGCAAACGTCACGTGCGTGTATATGTCGGCCGCCGCTCCTGGACCGTCCCCTTTCCCAAACTCGCCACCAAGGCGGCCGCCCCCAAGACGGTCGGCGGTACTCCGGAACGCCTCCAGTCAAACACCCTGGGAGGTTTGGGGGGCTTAGGAGGGGGGGTTGGCGGCGAGCAGGGCCGGCGGCTGCAGCAGCGGCTGAAACACTACATCGCCTTCGCCACCAAGGGACGTTGGGGCGAAAAGTCGGCTAAGTTGGCTGCGACGCGCGCGACGTCTTCGGTCGACCTGGATTTGAAGTTGGCTGTGCTCTCGCCGCTGGACATTCGTGAGGTTGTGCAGGTTATGAAGTACAACCCGCGCCACGCCCAGCTGGACCTGGAGGAGAGGATTATGGACCCGGCCTGGCGCGAGACCGTACTACAGGCCACCGTCTCGCCCGCCGCGGGCGAGCGCGCGCCGATGGGGCAGCGACCGTGGATCCACGACAACAAGCAGCTGGCGGACTTTTACGACGTGAAGCTGATTTCCAGTACGGTGGCGCAGCCGATTCCGATGCGCTCCTGGTGCACGCCGTTGGCGCCGCCGAAGCTGCAGGGCCGCGGACGGAAGCTGCAAGAGGTACAGCGCGCCCTCATTTCGCAGCGGACGGTGAGCAAGATGATGTGGCGTGGGAGTGTGCGTTGTGCGCGTTATGAGATCCTCGCGGACACACGCTCGCTGGATCGGGTCTCGGTGCTCTGGAGTCGGCGCTACACGCAGCACGTGCGGGCGTTGGTGGATCTGCACCCGGTGCAGTTCAAAACGGACGTGGCGGGCGTGGCCGCCTTCAACCAGTCCGTCTGGCACTTCAAGTGCACCTACTCGTTGCTGGCGCTCTTCTTCTGGAGCAAGAGCGACTGGGACACGAGTTGCGGCGCACCCGGGGACTTCGCGGAGGGCTTCGTCTCCGCGCCGACCGGCGAGGCGCACTTCCGCGCGGCGAAGCCACCGGAGTCGGCGGGCCCCGGCACTTCGGTGAACGGCTTGGGCGGCGCAGTGGGTGTGCATTCGGCCGACGGGAGCGGGTCAGTGGAGCTGTCAGGCGCGTGCCCGCCGTTGGACGACGTGGAGGAGTTTTTGGGGCGCATTGCGCGGCAGTCGTCGTCGCACTCGTTTGTGGCGGTGTTTGCGAAGGAGGGCGGTGCGGTGGCGTTGGAGCCGGTTGTGACGGCGTTGTGGCGGTCGGTGGTGTGGTTGCTGAAGGTGTTGGCGGGGTTGTTGGAGAGTCAGACGCCGACACCGTCGGCGGACCTGTGTACGGAACTCTTGACGGCGGCGTTGTCGACGGTGGTTAGTTTGGAGAACCAGGCGAACGAGTTGAACTTGGTTTTGTCGGCGGGTGTGGATTCGGTTGCTGGGGTGGATTCACGGCGCGCGGTGTCGTTGCAAAACGGCGCGTTCGCGGCGGAGATGAGTCGGGTGTTGGCGCGTTACTTGGCGCCGTTGGTGGCGGGTGCGCGTTTGGTGTACAACGGAGTGCAGCCTTTGTTCCAGGGTGCGCCCAGGGACGAGGACGACCCGCACTTGATGAAGAAGGTGAGTCAGTTGGGCGGCAAGGCGTTGGGTGATACGGTGGACGCGAGTTGCGACTGGCCGGCGTGTGTTGCGTTGGAGTGGTTGAGTGCTCGTGCGCTGCAGGCGTTGCAGGCGCGGCTGTACTTCGTGGCGTGCAATGCGGGTGCGAAGTTGCCGCGGCCGTGCCGGTTGCGTGCGCCGGCAGGGGAGAGGGCGCGTGCCGACCTTTCGCTGGGTCCCGACCTTTCATTGGTGGCGCTGGCGGAGCAAATGGCGGCCGAGCCCCAGGTTGCGGCGATTCCGAAGAAGCGACTCCGAGGTCCACTTGCCTCCGTCGCTGCGAGTCTCTTTGAGCACCGTCGCCTTTGGGAAAGCCCCGAGGAGCGCGACGGTCGTGTAGAACTGCTCAAGGCCGGCGCGACGGCGCTTGCTGAACACACACATGGCCTCAAAAACTGTGTCCTTCTCGACCAACCCCTCCCCGCACAGGCAGTCGGCGTCACCAAGCCGCTGCTGTGCCAGGACACTGGCTATCTCGACAACTGGACCGGGCTCTTCCTCGCTGACGAGGAGGAACACTTCGACGGCGAACCCAGCGACGAAGACACCGACGCCGACGACGGCTCCGAACTCGCTGACCTGCTCTCCGAAGGCTCCAGCACCAGTCAACTTATGTACTTCCAGATCATGCAGGACGCAGTTGACGGGGACGACTGTCCGCGCGAAGATGAGGACGAGGAGGGGGAGGACCGCTACGCCCAGACGGGCGTGGGGGAGGAGAGCGACACAGACGCCGCAGAGAGCGAACGTGCGGAAAGCGAGGCAGAGAGCGGCGCGTCGGGCGAGATCCGACGGAGCAGCACCCCGCCCAAGTCGCCGCCTTCGCGGTTGCGCCGCGGGGCGCTGACGACACCGGGTTCGGACGAGGCGGAGGCGCCGGCGCAGGTGCGTATTTTGTGGTCGCCGCCGCCGCGTTCGTTGCGGAGCGAGATCCTGTCTCAGTCGCGGCGGCGGGGTGTGAGTTTTTGTCGTTCGAGTCCGGGTCGTTTGCGTGCGCGGTCGCGTGCGCGGTCGAGTTCGACTTCGGCTTCGTTGGCCTTTGTACCCCGGCGGTTGGAGAACCGTTGTTCGCGACGCATTAAGGCGAGTGCATTCAAGCATTGTTGCGGCCGTGCGTCGCGTCGCGTGGCGGACGTGTTTGAGGAGGACGGCGTGCCGGTATTGGGTATTCCCGTCTGGCACCCGTTGGTGCCGTTTGGACCGGTGATGCAGCGGTTGTCTGCGAACACTGGTGTGTGCCTGTCGGATTGTTCGCTTGCGATGAAGTCGGAGTGTGGTTGCGACTTGCAGCATCTGGCGGGGACACATTTGTTGCTGGACATTGGTGGCTTCTTGGGTGAGAGCCTTGGACCTGAGGAGGCGGGTTTCGCGGTTTTGTCGGACAGCTACCTCACTGTGCGCTGTCCTGAGGGACATGCTATGCCCGAGTTCCGCGGCGACGCGCCCGGCTACCGAGTTGTCTGGCGTTGCGACGCCTTTGAGGAGGAGGGCGGCAGCTGTCTGAACAACAACCTCGACTTCAAGTTCCGTCCCGGGCGCGGGCGATGGCGCTGCGACGCGTGTGACATCGACTACTGCGAGGTCTGCGTCAATGCGTACCGCAACCGTAAACGCGTCGAGAGCGACCGTGTGCTATCGTACACACGCGATCGCTACCTTACGGGCGGCGCCAAGGACGCCGTCCAGATCCTGTGGCGCGGCTACTGGTGGGTGGTGCCCTACAAGGTGTTGCAGGAGACGGGCGGCGGGCTGGATGCTATCATCAGCTACGTAAGCGAGAGCATCCAGTGGTATGATGTGGGTTTCCGGTCGCTTACGGACTACGCACGGGTGGTGAGCCTGTGGAAGCTGGGGCTGGTGGCGCAGAATGCCACGCTCTCGCTGTACCAGTTCGCCTGGCACGGGCGGAACCTCGACCGCCGGCCTTTGGCGCAGGCGCGTGCGTTGCGACCGCTGCGGTCGCTCGTGCCGGTCGAGACTTGGGCCGCTGGGCGCCCGTCGCTTTGGCGGCCATTGGCGGACATCGTTGTGCGCGAGGCCGTGGATGAACTGCGCCACGGCACTGCCTGTCGTGCCAATTCCGGAACCGAGTTTCTGGAAACTGGCTTCACCAAGGCCGTGCTCCGTATCCTTGTTGCCAGCCAACTTGCACGAGACCTTGACGCTGCCCACCTGCGCCAGGCCGAACTCATAGGCGCCGTCGAGAAACTCGAGGCACTCATGGCCGACGACGCACTCAGTCAGGCCGATTTCGAAAAACGAAAAGTCGCCATCCTCAACAGCGTGCTCCGTACCGTCGCCTCCTGGCGCAAAGCCGAAAACGCAAACCCCACAGATCCGCCGACAGACCAAGCCAAAGACCGAGGCGGCGGCTCGGGGGAGACAGGCAAACAGGACCAAGGTGGAGACGTAGGCGGAGACGTAGACAGGCAGCACTCAGCGCACCCAACGCAGGCTGAGCATCTACCGCAGGGTGATCCTTTATCACAGGGTGAGGATTTATCGCACCCAACGCAGGGTCGACCAGACGGCAGGCTGTCCAGTAACGATGGCAGCTACGCACTCGGCTTTACCGAGTCCTGGACCGACTCATTTGACGAGTACGGCTGCCTTTCCTACGGCTGCCGGTCCTCAGAGATCCCGAGCATTCTTCAGGAGGAGAACCCCAGGGGCGGGTTACCCAGCGCCTTCACTTCCAGCCTACCGGCTCCCTCCACAAGCGAAGAAGAGGAGTCGGAGCAGAACCTCCGCGAAGACCGGCCTTGTCGACGGGATGACCGCCGGGAAGAGCGCAGCGGCATGAGCCGGAGCAATTCAAGCCGCAGCGAAGCTGTCGGCAACAAGGAAGAGATGCGACAGGCCTCGTCCGTGGGAAGTGGGGCCATGGCCAGTCATTCAGTTTGCCCTTCCGGAAACGATCCGAGGCTGGAAGTACTATTCGCGGAAATTGATGAACTCGACAATTTCCTGAACGACCCGGAGATGATGTGGGTTATGGGTGAGAAGGTCGTCATTGACTCCACTCATCTGCCGGCTGACCAAGCCATGACAGCATACCGCAACTATTTCCACTGCATTCCGAAGGATACCCACGAGTACCTTCCAGGATGGACTCCTGAGTGGGGGGTGGGCTTACGTATAGGCAGTAGTGGCGAGGAGAATGGAGATGGCGAAGAGGATGTGCAACGTGAGGAGTCTGCAGAACGCCCGAGCGCAGCCGCGGAGGAATGTGCGCGACTGACCATTTTTGGAAGTCGGTTTACGTTCTTCAGTGGCCTCTGGGATGACTCCAAGATCCCCGCCCCGCCCGAGATTCGGGCCCAGTGGCGCTTCCGTGGTGTTCGGGACCTAGCGTTGGTTGCTCCGGCTGACCAAAAGATCGACCCGAAGGTATTGCGCGTGGAGCGCATGACCCTTCCGGAGGTATGCAATGACCTCCATTACGGGCTGACTACGCCCAGCCGGACAATGACTACCAAGGACGTCCGAGAGACTTTGGAAAATATCCTGAAGCGGGCGCGTAACTTCGATCCCGCGCAGCATGACCGTCGTATCCGCCGTACTTTGTGCATGGATCTGCAGTTTGAAGGACGGTACGAAAGTCCCCACCTGGGCGGCGGGCAGTTGGGCGGTGGGCAGTTGGGCGGTGGGCAGTTGGGCGGTGGGCAGTTGGGCGGCGGGCAGTTTGGCGGTTCTTACGAGTGCTGCAGACTCGACAGCTCGACGAAGCTGGACAACGCGGAGTGGTCCGCTGGTCCGGATGTGCCTGTGGAAGACAACTGTACCAGCTTTAACGTTTTGGTGTGGTGGCTAGAGTACGTGTTGCGTCACCCTCTGGCGCTGTTGCCTTTCGAGGGCTACCGGGCGCAGGACGCGGTCGACCAGTACATGACGCACGCCTACCGACGGTCGCGTTTGTCTGAGCGGGTGGGCGGTAGCGCGCAGCGGAACGGTATGTTGTTCCAGACGGCGTCGTCGTGTCCGCCGAGCGAGGCGTCGAACACGGTGCTGAGTCGGTCACACGGTTCGGTGGGTGGCTATTCGATCGGGCGTTCTTCGATCGGTGGTTTGCCGGTGGACGCTGAGGACTGTCCGGCGGCGGTGAGGCAGAGCGCGCCGTCGTGTTTTGCGGAGATGGCTTTGTTGGCAGAGTGCCAGGGCGGGTTCCTGGCGCAGTTGGCGGCGGTGAC